ATGTATTGGTATTTAGTCATTATTATCTACTATATGGTACGGTTGACTGTTGGGTTATAAATACCAATACGTCGTTATTATCTACTATATGGTACGGTTGACTGTTGGGTTATAAATACCAATACATCGTTATTATCTACTATATGGTACGGTTGACTGTTGGGTTATAAATACCAATACATCGTTATTATCTACTCTATAGTACGGTTGACTGTTGGGTAAAATAATGTGGTAAGTTTTGTGGACCTATGTTCACAAAAGACACTTTTGCTATAAGTTTTGAGAAGATATCCAAAGACTAAATCATAGTAAGTTTACATGATTCGTCTTAGAAAAGACCTGGTTCTCGAGTATCTTTCCTGATGTCAGACATTATTTGATAAGTTCATTTTGGTAAGCTTTTCGTTTTAGCATATAATGCTATTAATGAAGGTGTCAACTCAGGGATAATCAATACCAATACGCCCAAGGGAAAAACATTCCAAGACTAAAGAGACCCAGGAGTGGACCTCCAATTACCCCAAATATGGTTAGGGCAGCCTGTAAAGGAGAAATAATGACATAAAAATATTTTAGAGTAAAAAACGTGTGATATTGACGTTTTTACAGCAGTTGTAATAATTCATATTTACGGTATGTAACATCTTATGCTGGCGATTTTTACGGTATGTAACATCTTATGCTGGCGATTTTTACGGTATGTAACATCTTATGCTGGATATTTTTACGGTATGTAACATCTTATGCTGGCGATTTTTACGGTATGTAACATCTTATGCTGGCGAAGCGCGGTATATAGATGTGTGGTTGCACAATAATAAGACTGGTAATAATTTAAAGATCTGTTCGGAGTTATTATAAATATTTTTTGTGAAGTATTGTCACACGAGCTAAGGACCTACATTTTTTACTGGTTATTTTACTACTCATAAGAATTGAGAGACACCCACTTGTGACAAACAGGTATTGCATCGGATATACTAACGTCTTAGTTACGAAAATATCTGTAAGAAACACATTGTCAATTAAAATAAATAGAAAACCCAATAACATTTAGTAACCACGTGGGGGAAACACGATTAAAATAAACTTACTTATTTGCTTCTAATGGCCAGACATTAAAATAGTTATGCGTCGTTACGTCTGGATATGCTCTATCTGACGACCGTGAATTTTGGCAATAGCCCTGCAACGTAGTTTCTGTTGCAGAAAGTTCCGTCGTAATGACATCATGTCCAAAGCAAAGCACTCCTTCATGCTTTCCATAATCCATCTAATGTATGAGGACGACGGTTGCCAACACCCGGTTTTAACCATTTTTGGATGGTCCTGGAGCCCTAAGCTGATCCATATTCATTCGTTTTCCAATACTTTTAAGTACAAGGGATATTCCCAACATTCTTATTCACTGCGACTTAATATCGACTGTGGTCGTTACGTGACTTGAATATCCAAAATTGTTTTAATGTATTGTACTCGACCCTCTGTAATATTAAACTATATATATATATTGTGTCGATTCCATCTTGAAACATAGAATAAAATAAGACATTTACTTAATAAAACAAACAAACAAAAACAACATTATGTTTTCTTAATATATGGGATTTCTTTCTTAAGAGCCCCCGATGGGCAAGCGGTAAGTTTACGGACTTACAATGTCAAGGTCCGAGATTCGATTCCTCCCAGTGCACGGTACTCATACAGTCCACTGAGTAATTTTGTGCTCCAACAAATTAAACCAAACTTTCTTAAAGTTAAGTTATATAAAGGCAATTAAACACAGCCTTTTTTATGAGCATCAGACAAAAAGCAAACCTGTTTGATATAATTATGAAACTTAGAGGCAACGATGACCCAGTGTTCTTCCCTAGCTACGAGGAGAATGATAATGCAATTAGTCACAGAAGTCAGCGTCAAAGAACTACATGCCAAATGCAGTGTTTTCAATGATCTCAAAGATGGATGGAATGTGCTAATCACGAGAGATTGATAAAGTTCTTGGACATGGAGAATATAAGCGCGGTCAATCATTGCCTTGTACCACCACCTCCAGTAGATTGAACAACATAAACAAACACACATATGGATTGCTCCATATTTTGCTATACTTTCATTACAGAGCAGAACAAAACATGACTCGTCAAACCACACCATTAATAATTCATCGTCCGCAACTTACTTTGGAATAATATAACAAGTCTTTCGTATGCTACAGTGTAAACAGTCAAATCTTGATAAATGATGAACATATTGGTCAACTAGGACAGATTCTGATACAGTTTTCTTTATTTCATCCACCAGCGACAGGCAGACACGGTTTTTCCAAATGATGCACGTATTCATCCCTTTTGTTTGCTGCTGTTGATAGATACCATTAAATAAACGTCTTGGAAGAACCGGTTAAAGAAACGGTATTTGTTAGCGATATTCCATCTAGACAAACGTCGCTTTTCAACAGCTGTAATGCACCATTTGTGCTGCTCGTGTTTGTTTGTTGTTAAACTCAAAGCTACACAAGGGGCTATCTGTTCTGTGCCCACCATGGGTATCGAAACATGGTTTTAGCGTTATAAGCCTTCTGACTTACTGCTGAGTCACTTGGGGGCATATCAGATGCAAAACAGGAAATAAAATGAATACCAAAGATACATGTTAGAATAATGAATCAGCTGAAATATCACCGATTGTTTGTTTTTTGTTTTTGAATTTCGCGCAAAGCTACACGAGGGCTATCTGCGCTAGCCGTCCCTAATTTAGCAGTGTAAGACTAGAGGGAAGGCAGCTAGTCATCAACACCAACCGCCAACTCTTGGGCTACTCTTTTACCAACGAATAGTGGGATTGACCGTCACATTATAACGCCCCCACGGCTGAAAGGGCGAGCATGTTTGGTGTGACGGGAATTCGAACCCGCGACCCTCTGATTGCGAGTCGAGCGCCCTAACCACCTGGCCATGCCGGGCCCAAATATCACCGAAGTAAAGAATATTATAATATTATTAACCAATAAAGAATTTACAGATCAAATTGTTTTAACATAACAAATATAAGTTCATAGGATTTAAAATAATATAGATAATGTGAAATCACTTTAGTAACAAGTGTTGAGTAGAAAAGTCCATGGGGGGGCACGTACAGAGTCCTGTCGAAGTATGTTTAGTAACAATTGTAACATTTTCCCATACTTCTGCATTTCTGAATTATATCCCTGTCAATGAAATTGTGTTGGGGATATTACTGAGATATGACTAAATACTGGGGATATTACTAAGATATGACTAAATACTGGGGATATTACTGAGATATTACTAAATATTGGGGGTATTACTGAGATATGACTAATTACTGGGGATATTACTGAGATATTACTAAATACTGGGGGTATTACTGAGATATTACTAAATACTGGATATATTACTGAGATATTACTAAATACTGGGGATATTACTGAGATATGACTAAATACTGGGGATATTACTGAGATATGACTAAATACTGGGGATATTAGTGAGATATTACTAAATACTGGGGATATTACTGAGATATTACTAAATACTGGGGATATTACTGAGATATGACTAAATACTGGGGATATTACTGAGATATGACTAAATACTGGGGATATTACTGAGAAAATGTAATTTGTTATACCTTTCAGCAGAAACAAACAACACCTAATGTCTTCACACGTTAGTTAATAAGAAAAGTAGCATGTTATGTCACTCGTTACATTTATTTATTTCAACCTTTTTTGTTGCGACTGTTCCATACTTTCTAGAAATTAATTTATTTAATGTATGTCAACCTGAATGCATAGTACGCACGCGCGCAATTAGCCAGATAAAAACAAAACTTGCGTGGTTTTCATTGGTTGGTTGCTACTAAGTGCACAACTATACAGTGGGCTATCGGTGCTCTGCCGACAACGGGTATCGAAAACCGATTTTTAGTGTGGTAAGCCTGTAAGACTTACGTCAGAGCCTCTAAGTGCTAAAAGATTCTATGAAAGTCCTTTTGTGGGCTGCTGTCTCTCTAAAACTGGTTTCGATAGTTACTAAAAGAAAATAATACTTGACACATCTTTTAAGGCCCGGCGTGGCCAGGTGGTTACGGCGCTTGACTCGCAATCTGCGGGTCACGAGTTCGAATCCCATCACCGAACGTACTTGCTCTTTCAGCCGTTGGGCCTTAATAATATAACAATGAATCCCACTTTTAACCGGCAAAAGAGTAGTCCAAGAGTTGGCGATGGTTAGTGACGAATAGCTGCCTTCTCTCTAGTCTTACTTGCACTGTTAAATTATGGACGGCTAGCGCAGATAGCCCTCGTGTGGCTGTGTTTAAAATTCAAAACAAACCACATCGTTTAGATATTTTATTTAAAAAGAAAATAGTACTAATGTAGGTGTACAATAGACAAAAAGTAACTGAACGAGCTCGATTATTTTAATTGTAGTAATATTATTTCTATTTAAAACCTGGCGCGTTGTAATACCATGTTACCGACAAAAGCAAAATTTTTACAGAAACCTTTCAATTAACGCGTTATCCCAACTCTGATTGTCGCTAGCTTTACTCGTTATTTTTTTACTGTAGGACACACCCGCACCAAACATATTAACCTTATTCGATGACGAGGAACCCACTTTGAGACTAACAATGGCTGGAGACGGCTTGAATGGGTAATGAAGAAAAACTTTAATATAACAGCAAATGTACAACGTTTCGACAAGGTTACTGATGATGACAAAACCTTGTCGAAACGTTGTACATTTGCTGTTATATTAAAGTTTTTCTTCATTACCCATTCAAGCTGTCTCCAGCCATTATATTAACCTTATATGTTTCATTATAGATGAAACAACAGAAGGTGTCAAAACGTAACAGTTGCTATTAAAAGTAGGCCTCAGGGTTTTTGTCGACTTACGCATACATGAAAATCGGTTATTGGGATTGGCTTGACTAATAACGTGGCACTATTTTACACGATACAACATATCATGCATTTATTATTACGTGGGAAAAATTATTATTCGTTGTCACATTTGATTTTTTCAATACAAATTAAACATCGAAAATGCTGAGTGTAAAACTTGCTTAATACCAACTGAAAAAAAAAGCGGACTTTTCACTCAAACTTTACATCACAGGCCAGTAATAAAGAAAATTTGGAATAAGGCCTAACAAGTTCAGTGATTCAGCTATTTTGTAGTCAACAGATGTGTAGAAAATTTCAAACGAACGCTAGTCATCGTGCATGCCTTCACAAACATCCGTGAATAGCAAATTCTGCGTGACCCCCTGTGAATTTATTATAGCGCTATGGACCCCTGTTTAGCGTGTTCCCGCACCGCCGAGTCTTCCCGGTCTGTGACCAGGTGGTTAGGGCGCTAGACTCGCAATCTGAGTGTCGCAGGTTCGAATCCTCGTCCCACCAAACATGCTCGCCCTTTCAGCCGTGGGGGCGTTGAATTACATTGAAAAGTATTTTGGGTATTAGTAAGAACTGATAACTGTATTAATATGCTCGTACAAAGGTCATATATATATATATAATATAAACTGTGTAGGCGTATACTTGGTACTTTTCTTTACAAATATGCCCCACCCCAGTGTCACAGTGAAACGTCTGCGGACATATAACGCTAGAAACTGTGTTTCGATACTCATGGTGGGCAGAATACAGATAGCCCATTGTGCTTCAGTACAAACAAACTTTACAAATACTGTATCATCACACACGCCTTTATTATAGCATGTGTATATCAATCTGAACGTGTTATGTTATACATTTTACTTTATTTATAACATGTATCGTATTTACATAAATACTCTATATTAACATATACACGTTATATAAGCGTTTAATTATTTATTTTACTTATTTTGGAGTGAATAATGTTTGTTTTTTCATGCCTAAAAACTTTATAGATTTAAAATGTTTCGAGCTAAGAGATTTGAACTTGTCGTAATTTTACGTTCTGAGTATTAAAAAAGAATTGTTAGGCTTAATCTTTACACCAAGATTCCGTTGTTCTGTGCGTCACCCGCTGTTATTCAAAAACGACATTGATACATTCGTCAGAGTGAAATAAAATAAACTAACTAACACTGTGTATTCTTAAATGATTTAGTTCTCAAAAAGTCGTCATATTGCGTGTTACAACAGAAAAATAAATCAGTTTATGACGTCATAAACAACTACTAGCTCACCTGCAAGACGTTTCCTAGCAACTGAGCCACGGCCACTAGGCCTATAGCTATCAATCCATAGACGACAGCTATGAGATAAATGTTTGTTATTAATAAAAGTAGTAATGATGATACATATTTAAACATTAATAATACCATCGTTTGTACAGAAATCTACGTTTCTTAAGATTATAGATTTTATTCTATAATATATATATCGCAAATACCAACTCATGAGGCACAAAATCTTTATGTAACATTTTCCATAACGTAGTTAAATACTATATTCAACTTTTTATTTTAAATTTTTAACACGGGTTTTCAGCTCCGTGTCTCCTGTATTTTTTTAATTTTTTGTTAAAAAGATATTTTGAATTATTATAATATACAACGTCATATCTACTGCACTATAGCTCAAGGTTCACATGTAAAATCAAACATATATATGTTTTACAATTTATTAGAATACATTCAGGTATATCATTACCAAGGATTTTAGTTATTCGTGTTGCCCATAACTCCGATATATCCTTCTTTATGTACGCCTTTACAACGTCTTCTAAGGTCACAGCGGCAAGCGAGTTGACCCCTGACGACACAGTGCTGTTGGTAAACGAAAGCCATATTTATAATAATTAAACCTAAATGTTTCTTAATTAATTTAAACGTGTTTTTACTGATGTTTGGAAGACGTGACCTTCGGCAAGTGTATCAATATTAATAATCATTTCAGGAAGATACAAACAAAAAATATTGTAAATTATGAAACTTTTCGTACCAAAGTGTATTCATTAAAACACTTAAAATAATAATTTGGTTCAGAACAATCCGTTAAAACACGCCTATTGAACTTTTACTATATATAACTATACGGCTGTTTCAATTATAACAAACTTTAATTTCTAACGTCTTACTCTCAAATAAATAATAATTAAATAATTTCAGATGTCTTTGTAAAATATATATATCTCAGTCATGACTCGGTACTAATTTTTTTTCACCCGCCCTATATATCAATGGCCTGTAAAGCATGTCACAGCCTCTACAGCACAATCTCAATGTAGGCCTACATGTCTCCCTTCTTTTTCATCAAAACATGGATGGTTATATTCCCAAGGTATGATAGTGTCTTAGCAAATTAAAACCATCGTTTTGGGATGGGCAGAATATTTCTTTAAAAAAAGTCGATAAATACATTTTTTAGGGGGGCTAAAAATTTTAAAACAGGGTTAAAATTATTAAAGTTATATCGTTTATTTTTGTTGACAACTCTCTGTGTCTTTTCAAGGTAATGAACTTAATTTTCCTGATAGCGTCGTATTTCTGACCTATTTTATTTAAACAATAATATCATGTTAATCTTTCAACATTGAGTTAATTTTTAAATTTAAATACATACATACAAAGTTTAATGGTTTTATAAGATGGCAATTTTAAACTTGGAGATTCGTTTAATCAACTGGGTGAATGATTCATTCAGGGGTTAATGAGATCAGAATCAGGGTGAATGAATACTATCAATTATACAACAAATTCAATAGCAAAAAAAGTCATTAGTTATTATTATTTATTCTAGTTATAGTTTGATATATATACATATTTTGTTATTGTATTTATTGTAGTTGTAATTTGACGTATATTTAAGTTATAATAAAGAATTTTCACATTTTAATTTAACACTTTTTGTCTTTTTTTTTCGAACTGGGGTGAGTAAGCTGTTGTAAAAGAACTTATTGGTTGAGAAACACTGGACAAGATCATAGTTGAATAGTTGATAGTATACGCACCTGAGGGCGCCACTAAAGATTCCTGACACAAATAAACCAGGAAGACCTGGTAAGAAGCCCAAAACATCCATCACGAACAGTGGAAATAACTGTAAGTGATTGAAAATAACTATAAGTGATTAAAATGGTATCCGATCCTAGAAGAAGTAATTAATAATCGAATTGTTAATTTTTAAATATAATTTCAAATCACAAATTTAACAATGCAGTATATATATATAAAAACGAGCATCTAACCTAGAACATAGGGACAAAATAACAAAGAAAAAACGAGCAACTATCCTAGAACACAGGGACAAAAAAAGGATACACTGTACTTAACAGGAAACAGGGTTTAAGACTAAGGATTTTTTTATATTCATTACCCATCTTTTTTAATATATTTCATAAAAAAAATCAAGTGAGATGAAAATAGTTTGTATTTTTTTTTAATTTTCAGTTTCTTATTTGTAACTGTTGAACTGAATATGAAATGATATAACTGTCTGTTTGTATTCCTCTGGACCATAAAATTAATTATTTTTTGTCTGTGTTGTAGGATAGTTGCTCATTATTCATTTTTTTTGTCCCTGTGTTATAGGATAGTTGCTCGTTTTTTGTCCCTATATTCTAGGATAGTTGCTCGTTTTTTGTCCCTGTGGTACTAGGACAGTTGCACGTTTTTTGTCCCTGTGTTCTAGGATAGTTGCTCGTTTTTTGTGCCTGTGTACTAAAATAGTTGCTCGTTTTTTCTTTGTTTTTTTTGTCCCTGTGTTCTAGGATAGTTGGTCGTTTTTTCTTTGTTTTTTGTCCCTATGTTCTAGGATAGTTGTTCGAAGTTTAGATACACTGTACTTAACAGGAAATACGAAGTTTTGTATTTCCTGTTAAGTACAGTGTATCTAAACTTTGTATTTCCTGTTAAGTACAGTGTATCTAAACTATGTATTTCCTGTTAAGTACAGTGTATCCAAACTTTGTATTTCCTGTTAAGTACAGTGTATCTAAACTTTGTATTCCCTGTTAAGTACAGTGTATCTAAACTTCGTATTTCCTGTTAAGTACAGTGTATCTAAACTTCGTATTTCCTGTTAAGTACAGTGTATCTAAACTTTGTATTTCCTGTTAAGTACAGTGTATCTAAACTTTGTATTTCCTGTTAAGTACAGTGTATCTAAAGTGTTTCGATACCCGTGGTGATCACATAAAAAAAGTCTCGCAGTGGCTGAACGGTAAGTCTCTGGATTTACGACGCTAAAATTCTGGTTTCGATACCTATGGTGGGCACAAAAACAAAACAAAACCAGTGGTTCAATGGTAAGTCGGAAGACTTACAACGCTAAAAACCGGGTTTCAATACCCGTGGTGGGCACAGCACAGATAACTCACTGTGTAGCTATGCGCTTAACAACAAGCAGACCGGTGTGTTTGTATAACTTGGGGGTTTTGGAAGATAACAATTTGAACGTTTTTGAGTTATTTGTGCACCAAATTGTTCGTGGGTTCGAGAGAAAGTGATCAAATTCCGAGACATTGGTTAATCTACTAGTTAAAACGAATTACAAATATTCTGGGTTGTTTTAAAAGAGAATAATCTGAAACCTTCGACATGTCTACCTGGTCAGAGGATAGCTTGAAATTTGTCCACGACAAAGGGTCACACGTGTGGTACTTTGCGTAGATGACCAGTCCAGCCAGGCACGAAATAGTTAGAAGAACCACTAATCCAGGAAGGTTCAACCAGAGAGCTCTAAAGAAATTTGAAAGGTTGGCCAGGTGAAATGAGAATAAATACCAAGTTAAAATTACTGACACCAAAATATAGACACGTGAGTTGTCATTAGTGAGTTTTACTATCATACAAGTTTTATCGTAATAATAATAAATCAGTAGGAAATATATTTTCGGGATATTTATTGCGGATCGACTTACGTTTGAGCGCCACGTAGTGTTGGGATTGACAAATACCGTTGCACCATAGCCTGGTTAACTCCGTATACAGCAACCCATGTAAAATACCCACCTATGGCAAGATTCCAAACAGTATGGCGGGTGGTAGGATTGGGGTCAAAGCTAGGAGAAATAGTTATAAGTCTTTACTTATAACCAATTATTAAAATCGATGCTAATATATCTTAAGAGAAACAAGAGGGTTATTGGAAGTGTACATTCTGTGTGTATGTTTGTTTTTTTCAGGTTTCCGGTTAAGAAAAACGAGAGGGTTGTATACTCTGTGTGTAGGGGTTGTACGATTTGCAGGTCAGATGTGACAAGAGAAAAAAAAAATATCTTCAGGTATTAAATCTAATGTAGAAAAGTTAATCAGAGCAAAGAAGGTTGTTTTTTATTAAATCTGAGGTAGAAAAGTTAATCAGAGCAAAGAACGTTGTTGTTTTTATTAAATCTAATGTAGAAAAGTTAATCAGAGCAAAGAACGTTGTTGTTTTTATTAACTCTAAGGTACAAAAGGAGCACATATAGATAAAGAATTCATATTTTATACTAAAGTCTAAAATACATGTAAAGAAACGTGTTTATTTTTAGAAACATTTTATTTGAAGGCAACACATAATGTTATGAAACATTCCACTTATGTACTCGTTAATTGGCCCTTACTTGAAAAACTCGATTCTCTGCCCCTGTACATTTGTTTGCCATACATTAGCCCAGCCGCCCTCGTCTTCGGCGCCTTTGAAGACCACCACAAACATGGATATGAACATCATGGTGACCTGGAAAAAATCTGTCCACACTACAGCCTTCATGCCTCCCTAGGATGAGCAAGTGGGGCGTAATAAGTCACTTTTCTTGAGGTAATTGGGGTTTAATAACTCACCTTTCTTGGAAGGATAGTGCATAAGTGGGACTTAATAAGTCACTTTTCTTGGAAGGATAATGGATAAGTGGGGTTTAATAAATCACTTTTCTTGGAAGGATAGTGGATAAGTGGGGTTTAATAAATCACTTTTCTTGGAAGGATATTGGGCAAGTGGGGTTTAATAAGTCACTTTTCTTGGATGGATAATGGATAAGTGGGGTTTAATAAGTCACTTTTCTCGAAGGATATTGGGTAAGTGGGGTTTAATAAATCACTTTTCTTGGAAGGATATTGGGTAAATGGGGTTTAAAAAGTCACTTTTCTTGGATGGATAATGGGTAAGTTGGGTTTAATAAGTCACTTTTCTTGGATGGATAATGGGTAAGTGGGGTTTAATAAATCACTTTGCTTGGATGGATAATGGGTAGTAAGTAGGGTTTAATAAATCACTTTTCTTGGATGAATAATGGGTAACTGGGGTTTAATAAGTCACTTTTCTTGGAAGGATAATGGGTAAAAATATAAAGTGTAAGCTCTTCCTTGAAAACACAATAGAACAACAACTGATCATAAGTTATAAGGTCTGCTTTGAAGGCAGAATTAACATACATTAACAAAACAAGACTTTAGAAACATTAACTCTGCTACAAATTTATCATAAGTAAACTTTAGATAAAAATCGGATAATATCTTATGACATATTTCGTTTTCGATAGCAAGGCCTGGTGGTTAGAGCGTTCGTCTCACAATTTGCGGGTCACGAGTTCGAATCCCGTCACCGAACGTACTTGCTCTTTCAGCCGTGGGGGCTTTATAATGTGCGGTCAATCCCACTTTTAATTGGTAAAAGAGTAGTACAAGAGTTGGGTGTGGTTGGTGTTGACTAGCTGCCTTCCCTCTAGTCTATCACTGCTAAATTAGGGGGACAGCTAACATGAATGACCCTCGTTTAGCTTTTCGAGAAATGAAAACAAACAAACAAACCAATGAACATGAAATATATAATGTGAAAAAATAGATATTTGAAAGTATTGGTGGTGAGAGGGGGGGGGGTTTCCGAATCACTTCCTTAAAGTAAAACTTACTGTAACGTATACTAACCAAGATGGCGTCTTATAGGTTTGTTTTACGATATTTATCAAATAATTTTGATTTTCTGAGGAAATTCCTGCGAGATTACAACTTACCACTGATGTGTAGAAAGTACAAACCAATCCAATGGACAGTACAGCAGCCCACACAGAGATCCCAGTCACTGCATGAACAAAAAAAAAAAACACATTTAAGACAGAAAAATGTATTTTAAAGAAAGAAAAACGGAATTAAACTTAAGTTAATTTTTAGAAAATCAAGGACGAAAAAACAAATCATGTAAAGTCAAACCAACGTGGACCAGGCGAGGCATAAGGGTTGGCACGAGATGTCGCAGAACGTGCAATGCACTTTCAGCTGTTGGTGTATTATAAGAGTGAAAGTCAATTCCGTTATTCGATTCAAAACTCCTATAGGGACAGTTGATGTTGACTAGCTGGCGTTCCTCATGTCATTAGTTATATATATTTGGGGACGGCTATATCTATGGCCTGGTCATTTAGCCCGTGAGTATCAAATCAGCCCGTCCATTCTTTAAAATGGGGACCCCCAACTTGAAGAGAAGTACAATTGTAGCCTCATGAGTCAATGAAGATTTTTGTTTTCAACCGAAAACACCTAATTTTTTCTTCCTTCTTCTAAAGATAAGGAAGAAATGTGTTCAATGTCCACATTGTGGATTTTAATATTCTAACAAAAATACAAATTCGTTTTAAAATCTTCAAAATATTTACACGTATCTTTTTATATTTTTTGTTAAATAATTACTATAAACTCCATCTAGCGGTTAAGAAAGAAACTGGTAACGTGGCGGAGGTGTAGCGCAGAATGTGAAGGTTTCCCTACGAATTTTCCCATCGGGACCCTATTTAGCGTGGGTCTCCTCGCAACGCGAAGTCTACGGGGGTAGTTGTTATTCCCCTGTAACGTGCGACGATTAACCCTATCAATATCATCTCTGTCATACTTCGATTGCAGTGTGCGACGATTAACCCTAACAATATCATCTCTGTCATAACTTCAATTGCAGTGTGCGACGATTAACCCTAACAATATCATCTCTGTCATAACTTCAATTGCAGTGTGCGACGATTAACCCTATCAATATCATCTCTGTCATAACTTCAATTGCAGTGTGCGACTATTAACC